AACAGTTGGGCGACCACTAGGGGGAAAGCGCGAGGAGCAACCAGTGATAACATGATACAGCTTTTGAAAGCCAGTTCCTGGCAAGAGTTCGAACCGTGCAAGTGGAAAGACTAAAGGTCGCTTTTCGGTCCGTTAAATTCCATTTCAAAGCTGCTTTCGAAAGTGATTTATCTACCTACCTGATGAAACGTGGTCAAGTTATCAGACGAGTAGAATCTAGTGCTACTACTGGTTTGCTTCCACCATTGTGACTCCGTGAGTATATCTTCAACAGCGACTTCATCGCCATCGCATATGAAACATAGATTGTCGGTGACTAGCGATGGGGGCATCTGAAAAGTACATAAGAGTAAAGCATATGTTTCACATAAATACCCCGCATATGGCTACAGCTCCTTACCTTACTTATGTATTTCACGGGGCATCTGATAGTATTTGTGAGCGTTGACGGGCCGTCCAATGGTTTCTGATCAACAGAAAATACAGGTATCGGTTCGCATGTATCACCATAGTGAAAGAGCACCTCTTCCTCGTGATCTGGATTAAGTTTAAACAATTTATTTCTTTAAACTCTTGGTATCTACTCGCAAGGCAGCTATGTTAGTGGCGGTATCGGTTCGCATGTATCACCCTAGTGAAAGAGCGTCTTACCATATTTCATAGGGCTTGCATTCACTTCCACGGGAAAATCTATGGTTGAGTCTTCAGATTCGTCCCTGGAAAAGGGCAAATAATACGAAAAAAACATGCTAAAAAATACTACACCATTTCAGCCATCACCTTGTTCCGAAAGGAACTAGAATGAGGTTTTTCTCCTTTAATTTCCACTCGATTATCCTTCGGAGCGGTCGTATTATTCGTTGAAGTTAATAAAGGAAGCGTAGACCTTTTTTCGATTCTTAATTCACATTCATTTTCTTAACGGCAGTATACACGAAAAGAAATACCTCCTCCGATTCTTGCTGAAACATGGGCAACCTGACCTGCAGCTTTCGAAAACATGCCCCAAAGACCGAAGAAATATGCAAAAATCCCACTTTTCGCCTTTTCGCGAACCCATCTCTGGCAGTGGCATTATGGCTTGGATGAGATCGCTGTTTTGTATTGTGTCATAACAGAGGAAATGAACAAGATCGAACAACAAGGCTGACGTGTTAACACGGTTTATCTCGTACCTAACTCGCTCGCATAGGTACGCTTATAACCTTTGCAAACGCCGTTTGCCCACTTTGCCCACTCTACCGGGGGCAATTCTTACAGAATGGGGAGCAAGTTTTGCACAATCTTCGCCTAACTGTGGGTTACTTTGTCACAGTCGCAATTTTTGCGAACTTTCATCTGAAAGGAACTCTTACTGCAAACTCTAAGAAGTTTATAGCAAACTCTTCCCTGACACAACTTCTTTACCAGAAGCAATAATTGTATTGCTTTTGTCAAGCTATGGCTCGATGTCTTTGCTGCACTTTTTGTGAGCCTCTTATGCAAAGCGGCCACAAAGCTACATCCGTACTGCGCTGAAACATGCGCACCGTGTTGCAAGAATAATCACGATGCTTATGTGAAGCAGCTTTATCGTAATGTTGTAATGAGAACACGTTAATCAGTTGGTTTGATAAAGACTGTATATCGCTGATAAGATGCTCACCGAAGGAGAATTGATTCGGCTACGGACTTTTTACTAATTTGAAGTCCTACCTACCGTTCGAGATAGGGTAGTTTCAGTACTGGTGCTTGCACGAAGGCAGTCCCACTTTCGTCGATGATTACAGCGAACATGCACGATTCGTCTTCTACGAATCTATACGAGTTTAAATTGTTAATTCTCTCTGTAGCCTTTTCGATCATGCACAGCTTTACAAGGGACACCGCAGACAGAAAGGATTTTCCATTTTGAAACATATCGTGCTACGTCACATATCGATGTCACAGAGGTTACTTTGTCTGGTATCACACGAACAAAACGGCAGACCACAGGAAGATATGTGTAGAGGTATGTAAAGATTCACTGGCCTCTGCTCCTCATACTTGCTGGTTTAGTTTTCTTCATATTTTATGACAAACATTTTAAAAGGAGCATTAATAGGAATGATTATGTTGTGCTGTTCAATAGAAGAAAAGGACAGAAAATTAGCGAAAGCAACTTCCAAACAAGATAATTCCGCATAATGGAGATAAGCGTGACTCAGTCAATGAGGCAGTAGTGCTCTCAAAGACTGTAAACATTCTACGATCGAAAGATAGAGAAAAGTAAAATTTTCGTACTTTCACCTGCGTATTTTTTGCTTTACCCAGATAATTCATCAGCAAAAAAGAAAATAGCGGCTGACAGAGCAACGTGTTAATAATATAGCAAACCATAAGATACTTTTAGTTGCGACTCTTTTCAAAAATCTTCGGCAACATTTGTATGGTGGAGTCGCACGCACACCTGAGGGGAAAATTATTTTCCCCTCCAACACTGACGTTGCCGTAGTTTACGACGGAAATGTTGCTGTCACGTTCCGCAAGCCTTTTCTGCCACAACGGACCACATTTCTGCTCCCGCAGCACTGCAATACGAGCGATTCGTCTGATTTAAAAAAAACCTTCTTTAGTATCACTTAACTGAAAATTTTTGTGCAGCTCTCATAAGCAAGGTCCAAGCTTCGTGAACTTTACAAGGCTACTCGATGCCTCTATCAGAGGACCGCAGTTTGTCTCTTACTCTAGTGATCTGGTAGTGCAGCGACTTCAGATCCAAGATCAATGCTTGCACAGAACATAGAATCATAACTTTTGTGAAAAAATAATTACTCAAATTCTAAATGTTATCATATCTGCAGATTCTCGACCTTATGTATTGCAGACTTACTAGGGTCTGACTGAAAACTCGAGAAATACTAAAAAAATTAACTTTAAGTATTTTCCAATTCCTTCTTAAAACTAGTGGCCTGGAGTGGTAATAATCTGCCTTAAACTCGTAGTTCTAGGGGAGAGAAGACTGTGTTATAACTCCCAGTATCATTGGTTAACCAAGATGTAACCGAAAGAAATCAGCGATATCCAGCTGTTTACAATGCCTATGCAAAACTACTAGCACATCAGAGGACCCGAAATATCACAAGTCCTATAACGCGCAGACATCCGAACCACTGCGCTCTTGTGAGCACGACTTCGATTTCGCCGCTACGAGGAAACGAGGTATCGAAGAGATGCAGTGATAAGCTAGCCGCCAGTTGACTTTATTTGTATTCTTTATTATTTTACTCTTTAGAAATTATTTCCTCCAGGTTTTTCCAAAAAAAACAGTGAGCATTTTTTAATAGAAAAAAGCATACGGCAGCAAATTTTTTCCGAGGAGATGCTTTGTGGAGGTGATGATGCAGTATAGTCGATGTACCTATCTACCGCATCCGGTCGAATTTTGCCACCCCAAGATAAAAGAATATCGCCAGCAGGATAGCTTGACACAATTTGTGTCGCCTCTGTTTTGCGGCGAGGCAAACAGGAAACCTGCGCCCTGGTTTCACGTGCACCCCTTTTCCTTGTGCTTTGCTGGCTACAGTCTCCCCACAATCGGGAAACAAAAACTCCTCCGAAGGACTTTTTGATGACCAGCAGTTCGCGTTTCTGTGTCTCTGCAGTCTCGCTGCTATCTGCGATCCCCCAGCCTAGAAACCAAGAATTGAGACCGCGGCATGTACGACTGACGGTTCTTCCGCCGCGTCTGTTACGCCAACTAGGCGCTGGTAACCTTCACATTAAGCAAAAGAAACCTCCGAAATTGAAACATTTATTAAAACGTTTCGATTCAAGCCGTTCATATCCTACAACCAACTTCTGTATACCTGCTGAATGATTGAAAAATTGAAATGCTGACTAAAACGGCTGATTTAAGCATTTTTCTCCAGATGGTTGCATTTTAACTAACCACCGGTTAAATTTTCTGCACAACTGCCAGTCATGGTCAAATTGCCACTCCTGGTAAACAAGTTCGCGGGTAAGTCATTTATCCGCGCATACGATTAGTACGATTTCGATACGATCCTCGTGACAGTTCTCTGCGATAACACATCTTCTGCACCGAATCTGAGCTGTCCCGCTTAAAGAGTAAGATACAGATTACAGAGGAAGCAGTGCTTTCCTCTCATGCGACTCCGGCGGAGAAGAGTTTTGAATAGAAAGCTGGAGAGGTTCAAAAAATCAGCAACTGAGAAAGAGGAAAGGATCACGTCCGAACCTCCTCTATAAACAGAGAAGGCTCTAAGGAAAATTCTAGGCTATTTCTTGCTGAAAAACCCTCAGTCTGCAAAAATTCGTCGGAAAATCGCAGGAATTAATTTCAAAAAATTATAATCGGAAACCCAATAATGAGGTGTTCACACACTTTTGGTCACCGCTATGTGACTTTAACGGGCAATTCCGCAAATTTCGTCATGTTTTCCTAGTGAACGGAAGTGAACGGAAGGAAATGTCTACGGACATGTCTCTAGCTATGCCGTTGCAGGGCTGCCTGTCTTATACATCGCCATGCGATGGATACGTCTTGGGAGGTAATGCTCCAGCAAAATAAGTAGATGCGAGCACAGTGACACTTAATCGCATTCTTAGCGTCTTGCATTTGTCGACTGTATGTTAACTACTACATGCAGAGGGTCATGCGTTAACTGGAAGTAACGGGCTCATAAACCGGAATTGCCGTCATGACCTCTTGTCTTTGTTCTGCGTTCCCCATCTCTCGGCTCAAAAGGAAATAAAACAGGATTCGTGTAAGTATCAGTTCAGTCCTTGCCAAGTGTCCTAATGATTGTGAAGAGTTGTCTAACGTGGATGCGACGGCTTAGGCCGTTGCATGCCTGCACAGAACTGCCGAGAACATAAGTTTGCTCAAGTTCCTCTCAGCACTAATTGTTTTGTGCTTAAATACGGTCCAGTCAGTACAGTGGCTGTGGTTACTCGAATCAGGTTGAGGTTTCAAAAAGAAACAGGTAGTTTTCGGTAGGAGGGACCTTAGCCGTTAATTGTTAAGAACTTTCAAAACTTACCGCGGCTTCAACTTTCATTGCCAACCAGCAATAAACGTACCTCGGCAGAGCCTCATTGGTCACGTTATCGCCTCTGCGCAAAGCTTTAGAAGAAAAGTTAGCGAAACGCGGAGAACATGACGAAATTTGCGAATTTCCCGTTAAAGTCATATAGTAGCGGCTAAAAGTGTGTGAACACCTCATTACTGAGTTTCCGATTATAT